TCTCCACCTATCCTCTCCTCTATCCCTCTTCTATCCGCCTCCCACTCTCTCCCTATTTATTTCAAAACCCCCTTCCCCTCCCCCTTTTCTGATGAAGGGTCTAGGCCCGAAACGTCAGCCTCTCTGCTCCTATGATGCTGCTTGGCCTGCTGTGTTCATCCAGCCCTGCACCTTGTTGTCTCGGATTCTCCAGCATCTGCAGTTCCTACTATCTCTGGTGAATAAATCTGTTGTGATTTTAGACCATGGGATCGATGGAATCTTGTGAGGGTGTTTTTGCATTGATGTGATTGGTGACTCAGATATGCTTCACACATCTAGTCTTCTCTGTCATTGTTGATAACTGACCAATACATTATAACCTGTATCAGCTGTTTTCTTCCTCTATACCCGTTAATTACAACGTGCTAAGAGTAGAAGCAGCTCTTAACACAGCTGTAACAATAAATCCAACAGAACAGCTTGGGACACATTACTTTTGTCTCTTTTAAGATTATGCCTCAAGTTATGTCACTCATCTCTGTACAGTCAGAAGCACCGGAGAGAGATTGGCATTTCTTGTAATGTGTGAGGCCTCCCCTTCCTATAGCCCTTTTAGTTGTGCACCATTAGCCATTTCTTCCTGTTGATTCTTTGGAACACTCTTTGTTAAAAGCAGTGGAAGCAGAGTACTTGAATATTTTTCAAGCGGAGAGATAGACAGATTCTTGATAGGCAACAGGGCAAAACTCCTGACTCTCGGGAGTAGGCAGGTATGTGGAGTAATCAGATCAGCCACGATCTAACTGAATGGTGGACCTCCAAAAGGTCCACAGCGTCACAGGTGCCATTCATTAGCCAATTCGATTCACTCCATGTGATATCAAGAAACAGTTGAAGGCACGAGATCCTGCAAAAGTTAAGAGCCCTGACATAATATTGCCAATAGTACAAAAGACACGCTCCAGAACTTGCCACACCCCTATTCCAGCTGTTCCAGTATAACTACAACACTGGCATATACCTGACAATGTTAAAAATTGGCCAGGTATGTCCTGTACACAAAACAAAACAGGATAAATACAAAGCAGGCAATAACCGACCCATACAGTCTACTCTCGATCATCAGTAAAGTAATGGAAGATATCATTAATAATGCTATCGAGCAGCACCTGCACAACAATAATCCGCTCACTGATGTCTAGTTTGGGTTCCACCAGAGCTACTCAGTTCCTGGCCTCATTACAGCATCAGTTTAAACATGGACAAAAGAGGACATGTGAGAGTGACAGCTCTTGACATCAAGGCTACATTTGACTGAGTATGCATGTTATTGGAGGTCAGTCATCTCAGCTCCATGACATTTCTGCAGTGGAGTGTCCCTAGGCCTAATCATTGCTTCATCAATGACCTTCCCATCGTGAAGTCAGAAGTGGGCATGTTCGCCAATGATTGCAGTGTTCAGCACATTCATGACTTCTCAGATACTGAA